GGGAGAATATTTTTACTGTTGCTACACGAATTCAAAGCTGTCAACTATTATTTTCTTAAGGGAGAAGAGGGAAATAAAGTACAAATACTCTCGTTTCTCACTCACTCGCTTAAGCGAAAAGTAAAATTTGGCAAACTCTATGGATTAGAGCACAGTCTAATCACGGAAAAATTCAACTTCGGTACAAGAATAATTTTGACATGTCCCATGACTCTTTTCTTTTTCACATTATCCTTTACATGTACTTCCGAAAACAGAGATATTTGAAGTTTTATAAAATGAATAAATTATATGATTTGCCTAGTTACCAAAACCCCTCGAAAATCACAACAAACCAACCAACCTACCAAAGCCTTATTTTAAGAAACGAAACTACCAATTTTGGTCCAATTGGACCGCAACGGCAACACTGTATTCAACATGCCTTGACCGTAAGGGAGAGCAACACATAACAGCTAATTCAAAGTAATCCAAAAAAGAAGTTTCATTTCATTTGAATAAAGTTTCATTTCATTTGAAAAAACTTTCATTTAATTTGAATAAAGTTTCATTGAATCTGAAAAAGGTCTCATTTAATTTGAATAAAGTTTCACTGAATCTGAAAAAGGTTTCATTTAATTTGAAAAAGGTTTCGCTTAACATGAAAAAGGTTTGACTTAATTTGAAAAAGGTTTCGCTTAATTTGAAAATGGTTTCATTTAAACTGAAAATGCTATATATGGAATCAGAGAAAGCTAAATCATGGACATTCTTAATCGAATATGCTCTATCTCGTTAGCAGAAAAAAGGCAATTTCCATAAAATCCGTTCCCTGGTTATATGTATGTAGAATGATAATTTTCAAGCCCAGCGAAGAGCGTTTTGATATTATGTAACTGTTGTGAGCGAGAGGCAAGGCGGTTGGAACCTTTAGAGGTCAGGCTCTTTAGTTATCCTTGCACTAAAAAGAACATAAATGTTGTCAGAGAACCTGAACAAAATTCTTAACTAGGGAGACAGATAGATATATTTGGAGATATGCAGTACGACCAGGAGATCGGTGGTACCGTCTTACTCCTTTCTGAAACTTTGGTGGCAATGAGTGTGAATCGGGCATCCATCATCTCTATAGAACATTGCATTCGAGAAGTAGATTCTCAAAAAATTCAGCTGCATTATCACAAAAATTCTTAAGTATCTTACTACTCACGCATTTCAATAAATATACTGAAGAATAATAACTATGAACGTTATTTTTATGTAATTGGTAATGCTGATACCCGTATAATTTAGTTTTTATAATTAGAATCTGTCCTTTAAATTATTTAGTTGCCTATAGTTTTTGAAATTCTTGTACCCCAAAGCCGGATATCGTGAAAAGTGGATTTTTTTGAACATGTGCTTTTGTTGTAGTAATTTGGAATTTAAATATTTTGGGGCCCTTGGGGCATTTGGGAAACCTGCATGCGGTTCTTATTAGCCGCAAACTTTCCCAACTCGGTTTTATACGGATACAGCTCAAAACTCCTGGGACTTTTCCAAGCAGTATTTTATTTTATACAGGCCTGACAAGTTTCCAGCTTAATTACAGCCACACGCTTTGTTTGTCTACTTTTACTTTCCGACTTGCGGCTGTAATAACCTTGCAGGAGTCGGTTCGGTGGCAAAATGAGGAGTTGTTATGAGCGCGAAGGGGCGACGTAGCAGCAGCTATGTCATTCAATAGCCCTCAGCTGTGGCAGTATGATTGCGGTGATTATTTCTGCGCTACCTTTGAATTGCATTCGGATGCGGAATATTAATAGAAATTGTGTTAAGGCAACAAATTTGCAATGAACTTGCAAAGCAATGTTAAGCGACACTAACAAAGCCACTGGCATCTGATTCTCAACTTTTGTTTATTTCATCCACTTAAATAGTTTGCATTTACAACAACTTCAAGGCAAATCGTGAACGCTTTTAACGCCAAAAAATTGCACTTAAATTTACAAAATTGTCTCAGTTACTCAGTTTAAAATGCACTAAATATTTCCGTGTGTTTATGTATCAATTTCAAGCGCAAAATTACGCTCTTTACCAGTCGATTTACTTAATGTGATTTTATTTATTTAAAAATGGTAATTTTCATTTCTGCTATATGTAGCTACAAGTGCATACATACATCCATATGTATGTATATATATATATATATATCCAAGGCCTTCAGACTAGCAATTTTCAGCACTAAACATAGCATTTGTCTGTGCAACTGTACGCCTCCTTTAAAAGCCAGCTTCGTCGACGCAACGCACCACAGTTTGCACGGAGCCATTCAAATACTGTGTAGTTAGCAATCATGTTAGCGACGTTCTCAGCGGCTGCTGTGCCAATTTGGTCACCGCCACCGAATACCGGCTGCCGCAAATACCTACTAAAATAACCAAAATATTGACTTTAGACAAGTATTAGAAAAATCACCCTTGCAACTTTGTGAAAACTTGTTGAAAAATTTTAGCAGTGCAAACGCATTCAATCATTTAACTGCAGCTAATAGTGAAACAAGTGTACGAATTGCGTTTGTTCTCAGAGTAGTAAATTACCGTGGCATATAATTAAAATTAAATTTAATACTGAAATTAATTTTATAAAAATGTTTCGTGCCTGTTTTATGTTGCTATTGTTGTGCTGTTTTTGTTGTATTCTAGGCAAAGGTGATATACATAATCGTAATAATACAGCAAGTGTTCTTTATAAAAATTAAATATTTTTCTTAGCTAAGCTTTGGTTTTTCGAACAAGAAACTATCGAATTTTTAATACGAAATGGAAATTTTGATTTGAATCCGCTGCATTGTCGCCTGCTACACACAGATGTTTGCCCACACAAGTACCTGGCATTTCGCCTGTACACAGAGTGAGTGTTGTTATACATACATAGTAGTTACTTGCAGTAGTGCTAAAATCAAAAGACTTAAGCAACGAACTTGTTTGTGAAATTTAATTTTCCATATTTTGACATGTTAACGGCGCTTATAACAAGAGTGCTTTTGTTACTTATTTACTTAGATGTGCGCTACATCTTAAACTAAGAATTTTATTGCGTATCCTTTCAAAGTACCTTGAATATTTGTCCCTCTAAATGGATTTTGGAATCAGGCATGGCGAATGAAATTTTTTCCGTCGCCAAACCTTGTTTCTATGTTTGTGCAAAAGAAATGTTGTGATTTGTAATAAAAACAAAACAGCGTGTTTGGTAGTACAGTGAGTTAGCAACGTTTCTATTTAATATTTATGTAGAACTGGATGAGGCTGAGTAGTGAGGCGGACTCCATATAGTATGTATGTACATAAAGTTTATGCGGTGCTATGGTTCTTTATTAGAGCAACAGAATCCAAATCGTACGCGCATCACTCGCAAACTAATGCATCGAATTAAATTTAGTTTTCACCGATATATTTCTAGAGGTCTAACTTTAAAAAAAGAAAGAAACAATTATAGAGTTGCCACCTGTTTGAAAATTACAGTTTGTTTAAATTGATAAGGTAAAGTAAATGGTGCAACACGGCTGCCAGAAACAAGAGGTTTACGAAGGCTTACAGCCGAAAACATTTTTGTGGAAGGTTGCCACCTGTCTGAAAATTTTAATTCAATTTAATAGATAAGATAAACTGAAAATTAGCAATACGGGTATCAAATTGAAGAGGTTTAGGAAACTTTATTTTTCTCAAAAACTGGCGCTCTCACAGAGCTGATAATATAAGTGTTCGAAATATTTTTTTAAGCAAAATTCGTTGTAGTTACATTCAGCCTTTCGCGTGCCCCTCGCTAGCAATGGGAGCTGTTATTAGTTTTTCGAATTAGATAAATCTCCTTTTACGTTTCACTCTAGCAATATGTTTTTTTTTTCTTTTACCTATCCTCCAAAATAGTCAATGTAAAACCTTGACTCAACTAAATCTCCTGTCGCCATAAGTATATAGCTTCTTTCTCGGTATTACTGCTAAGTGTTTCATTGGTAGGGTGTTGGTACATTCCAGTTTCAGTCCGCTGGCAGTTGGATCAACCCGGAACTATCCTATCAATTAGAGGTATCCAAAACATTGCACTCTAGTATCATTCGTCGCGCTGCCTCAGCTGTTAATATAACTCAGTACATTACGTAGTTATGTGATTTGAGAACCATAGAGAGAAATCGTCTGCGAATTTTCTTGATCCCACGGAGATTTAACATAGGTATGGCTAATCCCCTATGGTGAAACAGATGTGCACTTCAAGAGCATAACTTATTTGTCGTCTCGTTATCTGATATTGTGTGTACTATACCTCAGATTCTACACCATGTTAAGGTATTTGTCGCAGTCGCTCAGAGTGTAAGCTTAGAAGACGCACGTTGTTCTAGCGAAAAAATTATGTTTCAATAGTTTTCGCAGATTACCCTTTAACTATAATAAAATTTGCATCCCTGTTTTTTAGATAGTATTGCATTTGGACTAATCGACTAGTCTAGTCTGCCTGGCGGTGCGTTCCAGAAAGTTAGCTACCGAAGGCTCATAGCAGCGCCAGATGCATACATATTGCGAACAAAAATTACATTTAAATAAATTTTTCTTAGACCAATACAGAAATACAGTAAGTATGTAAAACAGGATCGTAATTCAAAATTTAGTATATTCTCTCCAACAAGAAGTTCAGACAGATTTGCCAATTGCAATTATTTCCTTCGCCGAAAAAAGTGTCACCCACAAAAGGAACAACAACACATCTTATATGAAACCTGCTTCCTACTCTCAAGCGCATCGTCCTCCACTCACAACCTGGCACGCGCTTGAGCCAATTAGCGAGCAACACACACACCAAGCGACACACCGCCAAGCAACAGTGTAGCCACGCAAAAAAAACAGCGCTTTCCAATGAGCAAGTGATAGTAATGAATGGGAACAACGAATGTTGTTGCGCCGCCGCATGTTGCACATTGTTGCAGCAGTGCGATACAATTGAATTCGCGGCCATTCATTCGGTGGCGCGCTTTTAAACGTAACGCAAGCCAGCTGAGCGCTCTACGGACGACTAAGTAAGCGGACGTTGCACGTGCAGTACCGCAGTGAAAAGTGAGCGATGTGTCAGCAGCGATCGGTGCAATGAAAGTTGGAATGTTGCCAAGAAGGATTAAAATTCAATGCTGCCCAAAGCATCCCATACGGAGCTAAAATATAAATGCAAAGTGAGAGTGCGGAATGCGAAATGCAAAATGTAAAATCATGTGTGATGTTAAAAAAAATTTAAGAAAATATCTCAATGCATAAGAAAGCAAATCGAAAATATTTTTCAATTAAGTGAAATTTTGCCATAAGCAGTAGGAAAACAAATTAAGCAATGAAATTATCACTGCTCGCCCTGCTGTTCTTCTGTCTTGTACGCAAAGGTAGCGTGCGAAATTAAAATGCATTTTAAATTTTCAAACAACTAACTGGTTATTGATTTACTTGCCCTTGCAGAAGCGCCTGCTATTCTTTTCAATCAAATGGATGTGAAGAGTTTCGTTAACAGTGGCGTCCTGGATTTGAATGTTTTGCGTTGTTTTCTGCATAATAAAAATGTTTGCCCGAGTCCATATATAATGTACCGATTATTTGCGCCGTAAGTGTTAAAAGTGTTTATTGATTTAAAAAAATAAAAATAAAAATATGCCTCAATATTTTGTATTTGGAAATTATGAGTTCAAGTGTAAATATGTACATATATTAGCCAAGTCTTCTCAACACAATTTACTCAGTGTAAGTAAATCCAAGTACATTAAATAAAATACAAAAGAATACGAGACCTCTTTTTGCTGAGGCATAAGAAGCCACCAATAAGAAGAATCCAATACTTTGATATGATTCAAAAAGACTTTACCCTTCATGGCTTTGAACTTCCAGCAGTGGTCTTCCTTTTTCCGGGTGTCTAAAAATTACTAATCACCTTCCTGATGAGCTCATTATTAATGGTATACCCGCCACTGTGCGTAATATCCGTATACCCGAATCCGGGAAGTGACATAAAAGGTGTTGTTAATTTCTTTCTCTTTTCATATTTTTGTAACTAAATATGATAACACCGTGCAACTGTAAATTTTGCACAAAAAATTTTTATATATTCGCGAAACCATGGGAAAAATATAGTAAAACTATTTTTTTTATTTTTTCTCTGACGTCAGGATTTTTGTTTTTAAGACTTTGAAATTTGAAAAATATAATTATTTCAAAAAATTATTAAAAAGCTTAAGTGTAGTTTAAAACAACAGTATGACTATCAAATTAAAGAGAAAATTCTGTAGAATTAAGGCCGATTAAATTTTGCGTCGATTAGGTATTGAAAATGTCCTTTTAACATTTTTTCATTGTATTTTATTGAAATTTTACAATAATTATTTTCGAATAAAGTATATGCTAAGGACTATAACGCGCTCGATCACATCCTCGAATTTCGTCGTTCTAACTTTATTCGCTTAAAAAATAAAACTAATTAAAAGATCATTCTCAACACCTAGTAATCCTTGTGAACCAAAACATGTTTAAGGTTTTTAATTCTACAGAACTTTCTCTTTCATTCATTTGGTACCCATACTGTTTTTCTACATTGGAATAAATTTTTTAAATAATTTTTAGAATTAATCATATCTTTGAAACTAAAAAGTCCTTTTCAAAAATTCTGACATCAGAGAGAACAACTAAAAACGCAGTTTTATTATATTTGGCAATAAGAATGCTTCGTGTGTTTCGAAATTTTTTGTTTTTGTTGCACGGTGTAATAATGGCCTGGGGTATGCACCTTTCTACTTACGGTGGATAAATCGATTATGCAGTGACCCTTAAGAACCCTCATAAGAGAGTGGATGATTTTTCTATTTGAACTTAAGAGCAACGATGTGCGTTTTCTACCCTATGAAGTCCAGATAATCCTAGAGATTTCGTGAACGACAGCTCATGGATGCCTAACACTTTCGAGTAATAGACTATACGATACAGTGGTCGAGGATGTGAAAATACTTCTATGGTCATAGTTCAGGTAAGATCTGCTCTTCCGTCTTACTTGGAAGTTTAGAGCCATCTGTATAATAGAGTACAGCATTAGGCTTATCGAAAGTGAGCGAGAATTCTAATGATTAACAAGATAGTCCACGATGTACCTAAGAGAGCTTAAAAGCGCAAGGTTTCTCCGATACCTTAACCTGCTTCCTTAGGTCCTACTGCAGCAAAACGCTTACCTCTCGAACGCACATAAGGACAAAGTGACTAATTTCGACGACGAAAATTGAAAAACAAAATTCTTTAAATCTTACCGTAAATACATTTATAATACTTTCTATAAACCAGTTCACAACGTCACATACAAATTTTGACATTTAACGCAACGTAGTAGCTTTAGCGGAAGCCCAAAGTTGGGTTTTCTATCGTGCGTGGAATTAAAAATTTTTTTTGTTTGAAGCGGTGATAAAATAATTTCGCTTGATCTTTATTCTTATTATTAAATAGCAAAATGGATTGTGAAGCGTCATTTTTTATTTAAAAAATTTTTAAATTTTTATATTAACTAGAGTTATAAAAAAAGTTCCAAAGAGTACAGAGACCTCTCTTCAATAGTTCGAAGATCCAACAAATTGCCTACATATGTAAAAATATCAAGAACTCGTCCCCCGTTTCCCCCTTCATTAAATAGAGCACCTTTTTCTTATGTCGCATACTGGGACAATTTGACTGATTTCAATGAAACTTCGTACATAGAGATATTCGAGGTCACTGATTACGAATATCATATTAAGTTTTCGAAATTCAAAATGGCAGATTAATATGGCGGACGAATTAAAAAAAAACTATATATTATTATGAAAGTTGGAATCCCGGTGTTTTTAAGGTACCTGACTACGAAATTTATATTATATTTGCAAAACTCAAAATGGCGGAAAATGTTTCTCATACGTCATGCCGCACAATATATTGTCGTCTTTCCTGCTCATACATTTATCATCCAAAAAATTATTTGTCATTTTCATTTGCCTATTCACCATTCTTTTATTTACATATATTTTATATTTTCTTCGTTTTACAAAATTTTTTTTTTAAATTTTTTCCTTGTTAAAGTTTGAATATTTTCATAAAATATTCACACTAAATATCTTAAAATTTTGACGCGATACGGATTTTCTGAAAATGTTTTCGTAATCTAGAGAGCAAAATTAAGTTTAAGTGTTTGGCCGTCTAGCTGAGATATTTTTGCCTCCCTATTGTGACTAAATAGGTCATTTTGGAAATTATAGAATAGAATAGAAAAGAATTTTGGAAATCAAATATTAAATTCGTAATCAGTGACTCCGAGAGTTGTTAGTCATTCTGCATTACAATCCACAATTATTTGGAAAAAGTCGTCCGCCATAATGGATTCGCCATTTTGAATTTTGAAAATTTAATACCCTGGATACAGTCAATAATTTTTTTTAAAAAGTCGTCCGCCAACTTCCATTGAAATATGTCAAATACAAACGGAGTAAACATTTTTTGTCGTCCTATATTCTCGATTCGCCCCTTTGTGGAGCGATTAGATTTGAGACCCGATTCTAAGTGAAGAATTTGCTAGAGCTGTATGTATATATTTTGGTTTTCTATCGCTTGATGCCGGTTGCACTCTTCGATGGCGCTATGCACTAAAGGAATTTGAAATTTTTTTATTCTTCGAACTTAGGCGGGTCTGCCACTCGTACATTTCCACTAGAGCAAAAGAGGTTCCAACCTGCGGCTGACTTAGTTCTCATTAAGCCTGTCTGGCAAGCGTCTCATACAAATGTCAATTCTTTTGCTTTTTTAATCGACTGATAGCCACGTCGGTAGCCACCTGTCTAATAGCTTTTCATATCCAATTTTTGATGTAATGCGAGTTCGGCATAAGCGCATGATCTCCTTTTCATCTCCCGTATTTTATTTCAGTGCTTAAGACTTTTATATAAAACAGTTTTTCAGTTCCTTCAGAGCGACCTTCCGTTGCATGATCGGAACGTGGTTCCAATGCATCTGAAACAGTAAAGGATTCTTTAAAGAAGCCAGAAAAATAGAGAGTACCTTTGGCTCTTTCAGCTCTGCAAGGGTAATCGATTTATTCAAAGTTTAAATTTAATTACTTATTTAATTAATATACCCATTTATATATATATATATATATAAATACTATATTTAACCACCAAATAAAGGAGATGCCATGCCATGCATGCATGTGAGTCAGTAAAAGTTTTTCATTTAACACAAATCGCAACGTGTTTATGGAATAATTTATTTTTATACGCAAACAGTGTCAGTGTGTCATGTGAGAAGCGCGACAAACTTGCATTGGCAAGCATAAAAGCAAAAACAAAGCCAAGCAAAACTTAAAAATAAAAGCGATGTAGCATTTGGAAAGGATTGGCCTACGCTAGGCCAAAATGAAAAGGCCAGCTGAACGACCGGTTTCCCTGGTGTTGACAACGGTAGCGAGCTTGAATTAAACGCTTAACGCAAATAATAAATACTTGAACACACACCACTGTAATATCGTATAGTATTTTAAAATTAGCTACATTCAGTTAGTGGCTGATCACCAGCCACACTCGCAGCTCCAAGTGGCAAAGAACAATTTCGGTGGCAGCATCGATAGATAGAATTGGCCGACAAATGAAATACTCAACATCCCACCACATAATTCCTGTATGGGGCTGTGACTGCCTCATCTGGCCGGTTGTAACTGATTCACTTTGGTAAGCCGGTTACAGCATTTCAAGTGCGAGCAACTGCTTGTATTTAATCGAGTGACCGAGTGCGCGTAATTGGAGCGGCGAATGACTGCACTGCGCGTGTGCGTCGGCGTGTGTTAGTTTGCCGCATAGGTGTTTAAACTTTTTCTATGTTAAATATTTATACCAAAACTGTCGCATTGCTGTAATCCAGTTCACATGCAACTTGTGTGCAATATTATTGCGGCTGTCAATGACAAATGCAGGTGGGAAGCGGACGTTGATCATCCGATTAATGTTACACATTTGGGGATGCGATCATATTGGGATTTGTAGTTCCTTCCAATATACAAATTGTTGGTATTAATGTACACACCTTCTTACTTCCTCGCCATAGAGGAATCTTTTAACTTTTAACATTGCAAGGATCGAAGCAATGTCGCAAACTCTTGTGGAGTTGGATACTATGTACGCCACGTGCAGTTGGACTAAACGGATGCTATTAAACTGAACCGTTATATATACTCGTTACCCAATTAGAAGCGCTCCCCAAGGAGGAGTTTTATTTGCACAGCTTGGGTGGAGGCACTGAACGACTAGAACCCAAAAAAGAGGAGTGAATGTATTGGCATATGCAGATGAGTTTGTGGTGGTAAGTCTCAATTCGAGCAAACGAGAAGTGATCCTATTTATAACAGAAAACGAAAGGAGTTCAATTCAGGCTCCAAGGCGAAGTACCTGAACGTTTTAATAGACACCAATCTCAGTTGGCGGCCGCTGTGGAGTCGTGGTTAGCTGCGCGCGCTACCACTCCGCAGGTCCTGGGGTCAATCGCGACTCAACCCAACATAACAAATAAATAAAAAACAAAAACGTAATTTTTTTCTAATAGCGGTCGCTCTTCGGCAGGCAATCGCAAACCTTCTACCATGAAAAAAGCGCTTCTCATAAAAACTCTTTGAGGAAAGAGTGCCTTCAAAAGAATGCTGGGAGTCACTTGGGGCCAGTCACTTAGCCTGACTCAATGGTTGCTCTAAAGAAAATCCTCAGTTTACCGCCTATTGACCTTTTCGCGGAAAACCGTGCAGATAAATTCGCAGATAGGTTGACGGCCATAGGGGAATTCTATCACACAACCTTTGGGTACAGCTTAATTAAAAAAAATTGCAAATGCAGCGCGTAGCAATTTTCTCAGATAGTCAGGCGGCCATTAAGGCCTTGGCGTATTTTACAATATGCTCGAGTGAAGGATTCTTTTAAACTCAGTAAGTAGTCAGCTTGATTTAGATTTGGTTTGGGTTCCTGGTCATCGCAGCATTCCCGGAAACGAAGCTGCAGGCGAGGCAGCCAGAGAGAATTTCACATTGGTCACGATCGAGGATCGGATTCCACCCCCTGAAATTCTATATTAGAAGCATATGAGTTCACAACGTTACGAGAACTATCTGATATAAGTCTCTACGAAATACTCAACTTTAATAACCACAGCTGTTGGTTCTAACATATTCAGTCGAGGTATATGGTATTCAAATGACACTTAGTTGCTATTTGGACGTAAAAGTTTTTTCGACACCATTCTAGCCTTACATATAAAAACCGCATGGTGCATTATGAGAGGGGTTACATAAGCATTTTTTAACATACATTCCATAAGTTATATAAGTGTTTACACCAAGAAAGGGGGCTCAAGTGAAAGTACAGATAATTAACCGGTGAGCTTTTTTTGCATTAACGAATGGCTTTATTAGCTCTCCAATTTGAAAATTAGCTGAAAATTGCAATCACGCAACTGGACTGCGCTGCTTACAAAAAATCTTCTTCTTTTTCTCTTCTATTTAATACGAACTCATTAACACTTCACGTTTAGATGAAGTGAATTAAAAAGTAAAAGGCATTTGAACTCTCAACTTTCTGGGCGTCACTAAAATGAGAAACAAAATCACGTTGAAATGGCTAATTAATAGATTTGTTATAATTTTAAATAAGTGTGTCATATCTGTAAACATACATACATACGTACATAACTATACGCATATTCAGACATTGAAAATCGGTTCAAGCTTCTTTTTTTTTTTGTTTTTGAACAATTCAGCGCGAACTCGCAGGAAAGTGTGTATTATTTGTTTTTATTTTTTATTTTTGAACTCTTACTTTTATTTTGTTGCCTTTGGCTAAGCGGAATGTTACTGTTATCTAATCACTTACTCGTATTTATATACATATATTGGCGCCACCGTTATTAATTTCAATTACAACACATAAATATATATATACAGCATGCCTTTTGAGTATTTACGTCCAACCATTCGCTCTTCCAATTTCAATTTCATTTTCATTCATAATTATAGGTTATGTAGTCGCGTGCCAGTGCGCGCCAAAATTCAGGCTATAAAATCGCGAACGCATAGCGCCGTAACGGTATAACAACTGCATTGTCAATTTGGTGTCGGAAGAGGGTGAATTGTCTAGTGTCGCTAGTCAATTTTTTTTTTCAACTTTTTAATGGATATTTTTTATTAGTTATTATGAGTAATGAAGTCATAATTGCAAGTAGGTATAAATGGCTGCGATTTTATCGTCCTAACACCAGTAATTTTTGAGTTGGTGGTAAAATTGCTTACCATAAAGTAGCGAGTGCTTAATCTTGTTATTATTTATGTTCATATGTATGTATGTGCATAATTAGGTGCGTGTACTATGCATTTTTTAGCGTATGCATGTTTTGCATCTTGCGGAACTAATTTTTAAGCAGCCATATATACTATAGTACTTATCATAACTATAATGCCTATCTCATATCAAAAAGTTTTGCCTTTTTATTTTATTTATTTTAGCAATTTTTTTGTTGAAGGTGTTCCACATTTTCCCGATATAAAAACATCGTCGAACATATTTCGTATGGAAGAAAATGATTGACATCTTCAAAAAAACAAATACCAAAAATCAGATGTAAGTCCTACCCACTTCAAAATTGCACTTTATGTAAGAAATACAATTAAAAACTTCGAAAGTTTGTTGATTTGTTTTAAATATTGCACAAAAGTTTAAAACTTGGCTTTATACGATTTTTGTTAAAGAATAAAAAATATATTTTTATAAAAAAATATAATATAATATACTATAATTAAATGATAATAAAATAAATGGTCAAAACTTGTCAATATGTGTGCCAAACGCACTTACGGTTGGCTAGGTTAGGTTAGAATGGTGGCGCAAGGACTATTACGCCCAAGTGGAAGCTAAGTGCCACTTTGATATCATATACCTCGAATGAATATGTCAAAACCAACAGACGCGCCGCGGCGTGATTGATAAAGTTGAGTATGTTGTGGGGACTTATCATAGAGCTCTCGTCACGATGTGAACTCTCGGCTCATCAGCATAGCGCTGCTAAAGTTCCATCCATGATGTTACTCACCACAAATGAGAATAACCCGGTTACAAAAATCACTACATTGTCAGTGTAGGTCACTACTTTTACTCCCCCCTGGTTGAACTTGAGTAGTGCCGTTCCAATGACTTCATGCCTCAGATATGCCATCGCCGTGGAAAATCCCCGGACGTCCGCGTCCAGAACCCTCTCGAAAGTTTTGAAAACAAGGGAAGTTAAGCTAATTAGCCAAACAAACGTTGGCGTAGACGTACTCTCGTCCACCAGGTTTTGAGATGAAAACCACTTTCACTCGGCTATGCATCCTTTGAAATTTGACAAAAGTAATGGCATGATAGCATCATCTACAGTTTGCAACATGATAGGGATGATATGGTCTGGCCGCGGGCTTTTGTATAGCGAGAAGGACTTCAAGGCTCATGATTGAAGGCTTTGTGAAAATTGACTCTGCTATATTCTGACGTATGCCGACGACATCGATATTATCGGTAAAAACAAGGGTTACGTCTGTTCTGCCTTCTCAAAATTGGATAGAGAAGCAAAGCGAATAGGTCTGGTAAAGAAGACGAAGATATGCTGAGCTCCAGCATACCTTCTTGTAAGCGGACTTTTTCAGAATTTCCCGGAAAATGTGTGTTAACAAGCAACCTGATTGAGTCTTTCAGTGGCTTAAGGAAACACCAAGGTGAATACGAAGACGATAACAACTAAACCGAGGAAAAAATCTTCGAGACTCTTAAAAAGCAGAAAAGCGACCGAATTTCGGCAGTAACTGGCACTTGTTGTAAAGCATTGATGCTTAACCAAACCGGTGTACGTAACAAATCGTACATTTGTAATACTCAATGCGAAAGTCAATGTCATTGCTGTAATATTTACAGTTACCATTAATGCTTTATTTGTATGAATATTTCTGCTTTGCTAATCGGCAGTTTTCAGTGTGTTTCTTGCTCGCTCGCTTAGTTGTTCATGAATTTGTTTTACAAGAGTGCACTCATATATACGATGTTGTTGTTGTTGTTGCTGCTGTTGCACTCATCTACCAGTTTAGTTACGGCAAGTTGAATTGTTGCTGATGGCTGCATGCTCACCGTTATTAGCGCAGATTTCACACACCACCTGCAATTCAAATTTAATTCAATTTCATATAGTACATACATACATACATACAAACAAACAAACATGCCCAGTGGGAACAGTAGTAATGCATTACATGCGTGAAAAATTATGTAATGCATATCTTATGAGTTTTAGGTTATATTACTGATTAATATGTAAAAATATGTAATCAGCATTCTAATGTATCCAAAAAGTGCCAAAAAATGCTTACTAAATCACATACATCCCTCGATACTTTTCTTATGACATCGCCTAGTGGAAAAAAATGCATTTTCAAATGTGGAAGCGGTTGTTTTTCATTTTCCCACTGGGTGCATATTTGCATTAGACATGCACACGTACATACATACACATGCGTACGTAACCGCGAATTTGTTTTGCTTCGATTATCCGACGTGGACGCCCATTACTGCACTACGCCGTGCAACATGCCGGCTGCGAGCGAATTATTTACCTTTCAGTGGCTTCCTAATGGAGTATTGAGCTCTCACATTTATTTATTTGTTTTTAAAAATTTATATAAATATGTTTGCAGGTACATATCAATATGTATACATACATACACACACACACATATATATATATACATATCAAGCCTAGTGACTGCGACCATTTGATTTAACTACTTTCGATTATTATTATTTTATCGGCTTTTTCTTTGCTTTGGTTTTCGCCTTTACTTTACAGGAAGTCATCACGTCACGGTGTTGCACTGAACATACACAATCCGCTGTCTCTATTCAAGGGTGGCTTCAGTCGCCATCGCGAAACGGCATTCATCGTGCACGGCTTCAATGGCACCGCTGTCGATATGCATTTACAATTTTTGAGAGATGGTGAGTTAAGGGCAAAATATAGATAAAATCAGAACAGAATGAATGGCATACATATGTATGTATGTATGTACTTTAAACCCTTTTTAATATTCATTCATATATTCCTAATTTTTGTTTATTTCCAGCTTATTTGTCACGTGATTTCAATGTCATCACCGTCGATTGGCGACCATTAACCCGTTACCCCTGCTATTTGCATGCTTTGATCAATACACGCCTGACTGCTCAATGCACCGCACAGGTACGCGTAAAATTACATATCTGTTGGCATTAGTGTGGTCCAAAAATGCTGCGGAAGAATATCGAAAATGAGGAGACCGGTATTTCGAAAAAACAAATGATGCATATTTAGCTTTAAAATTTGACTACCTTTTTTTTATAACGTGCGTGTTTTGAAGATACAAAGAAATATTATTAATCGATCAAAAATTATTTGTTTTTTAACGATTCCAGTTATAGCAATTTTACCAAAAAATTTTGCCTTCATCTGTAAAGTACATACATATATGCAAAACTTAAAGGCTTCGGTTAAATACTAACCGTTTTCAAAACAAAAAATACGAGTCTCCTTATTTTCGATATTCTTCATTTCTAGTAGTGGCTGGAAACAAAACGTTGAACCACCCTAATTTACATATGTATGTTGATTTGCAGGGTACCGATTTTAGGACCTAAAAACTTATAAAAAAAGGCAAAATAAAATAACGAAATAGGCAGGAAAAGACACTAGGAATCGAAAGAAAGGCAAAATAAGGCACTAAAAAACTGAAAAGTAATTTAAAAAATACATTTATTTTAGAAATGTTAACTATACGAGTAAAAAGAGAAAACCCCATAACTAGTTTTACTAGCATATGAAAATTTTGTACTTTGCTTCTTTGACTATTTTCTCCCTTCGAGTTTTTAACTCACCACAAGATGCATTTTGAAGTTTTCTGGCAGAGTTTTCATTCGATTTTCGCGACTAAAAGCCTTGAATATACTAAACGTTACGACAGGGAAGTGCCTCTCAGGGTTGGTTCCGATAACCCGTACTACTACAGAAAGTGAATCTTAGAGGAAGAGGTGGAGTTGTTTCTACAGGAGATGGAAGCTGTTCAGCGGTACAGGAAAAGCGTGCCTGTTCCGCCAACCCAGAGAAAAAGAAGAAGTCACCACAAGGGAGTGTTAATGGCAAACCAGTTAGGTGTTAAACAGGTAGTGCTTCCGACAGGAAGAGAGCCACTGAACCACGTGCCAATGGTGATACGCCAGGAGCCGGATATGGCGTAGGCTATGAAGACAGCCAGGAAAAGGTTGTGATCTGTAAATGAAGCATAGGCAAGCAGTAAAGCCGTTGGACCAGGTTGAGGATATATGTACAATACATGCCCAGTCAATGAACTTGACATCGACGGAAGAGTGAGTTGCGGAACGACTAGGGAAGTGTCAGCGTTAGGACCCAGACTAAGCAGTTGTAATGCGAACGTTGCAGCTGCGAAAGCATCCAACCAGGGAGGAAGTGTTAGCGGAAAGCCCAATCACAAAGATGTACTGGATACAATGGCATAATTTAAAGCTGATATCTGGTTGGTTTGGATTGGATATGAGAAAGCGAAGATGACCGATGCAAAAATTTGGGACGTTCTCAACGACGTTCGAGATGGAGAGAACCTGGGAATGAAGAAAACGCTAGAGAGGAGCCATGTGAGATGGCGCACTCCAAGATGGCGCACTCCAATCGAGCCCAGAGGGTTTCATGGAAACGATGTGGTTTTCTTTATAAGCCGCAGCGAAAGGAAGGCTGCACCTTTAAACCACAGTGTAACTGAAAAGGTTCACATGGGGTTGTCAAACGGCTGAATGACGGATGTTTCGAATCCATTCCGTTGGAAGGCCGAGAAGCAAGATGAAGATGGCCCACTTGGAAAGGCTTACAGCGTTTGGAACAGCAAGCGTGGCTGATGGGGACGATCGGACTTAGGTGGATGGTAGTGTGACGAATACTGCAAAACACGAATGACAGGCCAAAGCGAACAAACAGAGAATGACCGAATGCACCATGAAAGATGCAGGAGCTTTGACGTCGAAAAACGTCAAATGGAATGTCGATTAGTTTCGATAAGAATCTTCTAGAGTTGCCATGAGTGCGAACGCAGGTATATAAAGGCGTTGCTACAGCGCACAGAAAGTTCAGTTGCGAATCAGCAAGCTACAAATACAGTTGTAAAACAGATAGCTACGAGTACAGATATCAATTGCCTTAAAATTATTGTAAAGTTATGTACAATAAAATTATTTCTAATGTATTTTGAGCGGTAGGATTTGGTAAATCGTCGAGGATCAAAGGAAAATCGTAACAATATGTAAATCTTTCGGCCAGGTTTTTCGGAAAATTGGCCACTGTGCACCGGTAAGATTTGTTTTGTTGTTTATTTTTCTGTGCATTGTATAGTATTCGTCCATGCTCATAACAAATTGACTGTAAACACGCATTTAATGGCTATTATGTACATACAATATGTGTAAGTTTGTTTGTTAAAAATTTTTAGGATTACCTGCATGTATGGTTTAGTGCAGCTGATACAAATATGCAATCATTTTTTAGTCGACTTCTCACAGACTATGTAGTGCTTCAGTTATCTAAGCAATTTCATTATTATAATTTTTTTTTGTATTTATTTATTTATATTAAGCAACCAAAACAAGTGCAATAAAAAAACAAAACAATTTTAAACTCGAGGTTAACTTCCTCATCAATATTTTAGGGCGGTCGTTTGCCAGACAGACAGAGTCTTGCTCAGTTTGGTATACTATTTTACTTTTGTGCCTTTTTTTCACGTAAAATTCTCATTTTAGACTGAACTATTTTGTGATTCGGTTATTGCAACAATCTCAATCAACGCAACTGCCCGAATTTTTATCGGTTGATTTTACCGAGGACGTACTGTATGACTTATTGAACAAGATAACAGTGTTTTATAAGTAAATATGTATGTAGGTACATATTTATATACTTGTAGATATATATATATATCAGTTTTAAAATACGCAAATAAGTATACGTATTTTAAAACTGATAGTAACATAGTAAGGTAAAACCTTTCTTTCCATTCGTTGGCCTAGCCTAGCCTAGCCTTTATGCTAGTAATACCTCTTTTGCTATTCCGTTAATAAATAATTACAAATTTATGTAAGTTTATGTTCATATTTACCTGTTTCCCTTTCAGGTTTACTCCTTCCTTACGCATCATGGAGCAGTGCGTGAAAAAATCACCTGCATTGGTCATTCACTGGGTGCGCATATCTGTGGCATGATGTCAAATCATTTATCGATAAAGCAGCATCGGATAATCGGTAAACGGAACATTTGTTTATCAAGACTGTGTTGTTTGTATTTATGTCGCTTCCTATAAAATTTTCCGGCTATTTTTAATTGCTTTCTAGGCCTCGATCCGGCGCGTCCACTTATCGAACGCAAGAAAGGTCATATCTTTCGCTTATCGATCGATGATGCGAGCGTTATACAGGTGCTGCATACCAATGCAGGTTTCTTGGGACAGGAAGATAATGTCGGACATCTAGACTATTGCATTAATGGTGGCAAATTTCAGCCATTTTGTAAAGGAAACCCAATAAGTGAGGGAGCTTCATGAAGTCGAATTTTCCAGACATGCGTTTAAAGGAAACTAATATAAATTTTTCGTAGGGCGTTCCCGTTGCTCACATTTCCTAAGTATTTGCTATCTTGCCAGTGCAATGTTTAAGCATAAAAAGTTCTTAGGCGTTTCCTGTCCAAACGGTTGTGTGGAGTTGCGGGGACCTAAGCGTTTACCAGTGAGCGGAAAGAATCCGTTCGGTGTTATTTCGCAGATAAGCGAATATCATATTGGCAACGATGCTCCAGATAAGTGAGTAGTTTTTATGATGTCCAAAGGAAAAATATAGCATTTTAGAACTCTGCACGTATTAATTTTGCAATATTTCTATTTACTTACATATATAGCGCAAGGGGATGTTACTGCATCGATATGCCGTTCGTAAAACATTGTCCATTCAACGATCAGACCTAAGTGGAAATAATACATATATGTACATACATAGATTAAAATAGTTTTAGTTAATTGTTTAAATTAATGTAATGTAGTAACGTATATATTATTATAAAATGAATAGACTTAATTTTATTTATTGACATACATAAATATAACTAACAACATTTACAAATTGTTTTTTGTTCATATATGTATGTATGTAGGTAAAAGCATAATATCGAGCCCTAACCGCCAAAATAACGTAAGCGACACTTTTTTCAAAATTTTCTTTTTGATGCAGAAATATTCCTAGAGCATTTAGATGCATTTCTGCATCAAAAAGAAAATTTTGAAAAAAAATGTCGCGTACGTTATTTTGGCGGTTAGGGCTCGATATGTACATGCATACATAAGTATATAGATACATTAAAACACGTTATGAACATATTTGAAAACAGTGAAACCCGCTCGCCTCTGCCAGCGAGGAGATGTATTAAACACCAAATCGAGCTTTGTGCTATGTGTGTGAGCTATGAGCTTCTACATGGAACTCTGTTGGCCTTTCCTTGGTGAATTGTAGTAGGTATATTTCCATGGTGAATGTAGACAGTTGCTGTTTAGTTTAGTTTGCTGGCAATGGCATAAATACAAAATCAGTTTCTAAAGTAGATACATGGGCAGTACTTCACTACCTACTTATTTTTGTTAGTACCTGATTCTTTTTAGTGGTAGTATGAGGTAATGCACCAGTGGATAAGGTCGCCAGGCGCTAATTCAAGCTGCATCTTACCGCGCTGTTACGTACCTAATAAAAAAACAGTGCCAAAATTAATATACATATTATTATACAAAAGTTCAGCTTAAATTATGTTTTACTTACATAGAATATTTGTTTCCAAAGAAGCCACACTCATGCATCCTCTCGGAAGTGGTACAAAAGTCGTCAAATAAAAGCTGTGGAGTCAATAGCTGCGGAGTTTATGGTTGTTGGCTACCGTCCACAAGTATAAATATGCACTCTGCATGGCTTTTTACAATGGTGAGTCCAAAAATTCACTTTGCTGCACACCTTACTTTTGGTCTACATGAAATTTCAAATACATCAATTTTTTCATGTGCTAAAAATCGTAGTACTTACCTAAAGGGATATACATCCAAAATTATTGCTACGTGTTCCTAATTAATCAATCTTTGTATATTTATTGATTCCTGCAAAAATGGGTCATGTAATATTAAAATTAACACATTTTTCTACATTGTTTACATATTTTTATATGCGTTTTGGCATTTCACTCTCGCAATTGCACCAAGATTACGTCACGCAAAAATTACGCTCAAAAATCCTCTCTCATTGGCGCAATCTTGTATTCTATCATTCTTGCAACCCGCCTAAGTACCTCGATCTTTCGTGCCCCATTTACAATTTTACTTATAATTTTCCCCTTTTGAGTGCTCTTTTGAAATTCTTAAAATATTTATGTATTTTTAAATTTAGTAGCAGCGCTACGCACCTTCGGTAAAAGAAATTCTAAAAAATCAAATGTAACTTTTAGCCACTTAAAACTAAAATTGAATGGGCTATAAAACCGTATACTCAAAAAACTCTTCTTAGAAAAAAGTTTGAAATTATGATGAATTTTTTTCAAGTGTTCTAAAAAATTTTGAGCATAGGTTTATATATTGTATTTGTTAGGGAATGAAGCATATTTTAATTGATTGAAAAATCTTAAAAATTAATAAATAAACATAGGCGGCAAACAATATCATTTTGAATTTGGTACAAAATGATATGTCCAACTCTGACATTTTAAACAATTTAATTCTTGTAAAAATTACTTACCATTGCACTTAAAATTTTTTTTTTTATGAAGTTTTTCTTTACTTGTTTATGTATTTAAATAATGCTACGATTTTGATTTTAAGCTATGTATACTTCATTCAATGTTGTTATTCATGTATTTATGTAAGTTAACAAGAAGATGTAACTACATCAGTAATTATGTTCGCTTAAGTACCCGCATTGAGATACTTAAGCGGGTTCTTTTAAGTACCCAACCCGCCTAAGTACCTCAAAAAGCTGAAATTTTTCGCGAGGTACTTAAGCGGGTTTTACTGTAATTTGAAAAAGTGTCTTTAAGCTTTTATAAGTGGTAAGCAAAGCATTATAATGTGCCGTGGTGGTAAGTCAAAAAAGAACAATCGATCCCCGTACCATCTAACAGCTAAATTTTTTGTGTAGGTATTTCTTTCCATTTAAGTAGTACATATATGTTCGAAATATGAAACAAATCGGACCCTAAATACGGATTTTCTAAATATCTCCACTGCTGCGCCACCTATCGGGCAAAATATTTGCTTTTTTTTGCGTTCTTAATAAAAGGTTTGTATAGTCCAGTCCCATGATCCAACTACACAAGATCTGAACTACGTCGTTGACTAACTGCGCTTTAACTGTTCTGGCTTTTTCTTCTAGATTAAAGCGTGCCATGTGAGATGCAAAAAAAAATAAAAAATTAAGTTGGGAAAAATAAAAATTGTTGCAATTTTCTTTCCTAGTAAAGTTTTTTGTTTCTCGAAGCATTGATCTATCCTTTGCAAGACCCAGTAATGAGCGATTGCGCTGCCGAGTTAGGCGAACGTTCCGAAAGCTGCTAGTCAATCGCTTGTTTTATGTGGCCAATGGTTTCACAAGTATGTAAATAGATTTTATCAATTTAGAACTTTTTTTTAATAATTAAAATTATTTGACATTTTTGAAACCCAATAATTTGAAAAAAAAAATCAAATCAGCTGCTCTACTGATACCATGATTCAATAATTAAAGGTTTGCTCATTAGTGACATTAGAGTTTTGACACTCCCTTAGCTCGCTTACAAAAGCTTTGCACAGACACATGAACCCACACACAGTGCCTTGCTAAGGGAGCCGATTTTGTCAAGAGGGAGCGAGAAAACTGTTTTTTGAGCAAACCTTATATTGGGCCGTATGAATAAAAACTAAGCAATTGCTTTTTCTTAAAATTTCATACTTTTACTTGAATTTTGTTTGAATAAATTGAGTAAAAGATCTGAAATTTTAAGAAAAAGCAATTGCTTATTTTTATTCATACGGCCCATTATTGAATCATGTACTGATTACCTCTTCAATGTTTCTTGGCTCCTAGCTCTGTTCAGAATTATATAGCACTTTTTTTGCTCCCGAAAGTTTTAGTTGTATTTGGCAATATAATAAAATTAAAAATCTGTAATTTCATTGTACAAGTGTTGACTTTGATGATCTCAGGCTATTTTCACTGCCTTCATGTTATTCTATTTCGATTAATATTTAGAAAAGTTACATTCCTAATACAAATGGCGCGAAAACAAATGGAAAATGGGCAAGTAAGCCAATTAGTTTCTACAACGTGCGCGGGAGCCCAATAACTATACCGATCAGTAATTCGAGATGGTGTATTCTCTCTCTGGCGGCCACGCTAGAAAAGAAAACCCAAAACTTACAGGCTAACCTCATGATTCAATAATACAAGGTTCGATAAACTGACAGTTGTCTCTCTCGCACCGCTCCCTTAGCAGTGGCACTGTGTTGCTTCTTTGCAAATTTACATGGAAACAGTGTACCTTTGGTGTGAAATAGAAGTATAAGCTTTTGTGCAATATGTTTATTTGTGTATGCATATGAAGCATATTTAACTGATGAAAACATAAACTGTTTGTTACATCAATCTCATAGTAGTCTTATCTTAATTTTGAGTCATTTTGCAGTTTTTATACAGCTAAATAGCACATAAATTGCGTAATTCACGTAGATATATCAATATTACGTTCAACATTTCGTTTAAAATTACAGATTTCCTGCAAATACATTAGAATTTACAAAAGGAATTTGACTACTAATTGCCTACTTTGCGTACTTTTCTACTACCATTTTCGCAACAAGAGATTTCATTATTCCCCTTTCTCCGTCCTTCGTAAATGCAACCTTTTGTAAGGGAGTGTCAAACCGCAGCTGTCAATAATTATCTAACTGCCGTCCCTAAATTGGAGCGCTAAGCGTTGCGTTATCCATTGTCGACGAGTGTCAGCGCGCGCTATCCCCAAATCAACGCGTCGTAATTTTTGACGATTTCTCAGATCCTCTCGTTTTTATTCTCGTTTCCTCTTTCACTTTTTTGTCCTTTCTCTTTCTTTCCGTCTTCCGCATCCAACTTCAACACGTAACGCCCTGTCAAAAATTAAAATTCCATTTGCTCGGCGTTAGCGCCGCGTTATTGTGGGATGCTTCATACAAATTGTATGGGCATGAGGATTTTTGACAGTTGTTTGGCGCTTGACGCGCCAATTTAGGGATGGCAGTAACCTTGTATTATTGAATCATGGGCTAACCTAATATTCGCGGCTTGCGTTTACGCACGCCGTAGAATTTTTTGTTTTGCGTCACCCGAAAATGGCTTGCGTGCGTTTGCATTTGATTTCATTGAGCGAAATGTCAAATCAAAATGTCACGCCGAACAAAAATTGGAAATTGAGTTAGCTTCATACGCGCGCCGTTCAATTTCGGTTGGTTGCATACAAGTTGTATGTGCATGAGAAATTTTTGACAGTAAATTGGCGGCGTGCGTGAACATTAGGTTAGCCTGTTAAAGGTGTTCTTACACGATATGTTTTTGCATCTGTAAATGTGACTTTTTCAATACATATATAATTGCGTATGTCTGTCAAATTCACAGTCTTTATTTAACTATTTAAAAATACGATCTTTGAAAACGAAATAAACTAAACTTAGATAATTCTATCTGTGTGTCAGATGAAAATTGGAACATTTCTATTTCGTATGTACGGACATATGCTTTGTACAGAAACAAATCTTATTTGCCTTTACACGATATGTTGGCATTTCCATATGTAAAAAGTGGCATGTACACATGCAAAAACATATCGTGTAAGAACACCTTAAGCGGTGATAAAATGGAAAATTTCGAAATGCAGTGGAAAAACACATTCGTCACTAAATGCCTACTATTTATTTGTATTATTTTTTTTTTTGTAGCTTTGAGAACTTGAAAGTCCAGAATGGCAAGGAGAATTCATTTATCCTTAAAATACCATGTTCACCATAAACAGAAATCGAAGAA